CAATGTCGTTGCTATTAGTAGTATTTCATGGATGCTGTCGCTGGGAGCCCAACAGAAGCAACATTGATAGTACAACAATAAACGCCTGCTGAAGTGTACGTCAATATAACGGCAATGTAGATGACGTGGTTTCTGGTTTACATCTGTCAGGTGCGTTTGTAGTCTGGTTAAAGCCCTTGTTGCAAACCGTGAGCGACAGTCGACAGCGCAAAACAACAACACCTTTGTGAGCAGCCAGAACAACAATAAGTATCACATGTTATTTTCACTCACGCATCGCCACGCAACGGCAATGTGGTGTTAATTGATTGGACCACCACCTATCCGCCCACTTCTGTGCGCCCAGCTCAGGTGAGAGCAGCAATCGTTGATTGCATACGATTTATTTGAAGCCGTATTCAAATGGAATTTAAAGCGCTTGCGACCCAGCCAATTCTCCGAGTGTGCGAGTAAAACAAAATTTGAACGTTGAGGTTTGTCAACAGCATTGTTCAAAATGCATCGAATTTCAGCGCTAAAGCACCCGGAGTTTGGCATTGAGGGGCAATTGTAACAGTATGGGTGGAAGAGACTTGAAGCCTACTCCTACCTACATATATAATACTATTTCTACGAATGTCTGGAACACTATAGAGTGGCTAATTTCAATCAGGACATGTGTATTTATGAATAACTAAATTAGTCAACCAGTGGGGCTAAAAATAAATTTTTATTTGATTCATAAATATTCCCAAATAAATACTGACAGCTGCCTCGCGAGCTGATATTTTCCTATATGGATTAGCTTGAATAAATGGATGAGTCAGTAAGCCAGATAAAACCGTTTTTATTGATGAAAACATTTAGCCAAGAAAGTCTGGCAATTGTTTGATTAAAAATTTTCTGAATTCAGTTGCCTTGCTATGGACTGACAATTGAGCGGTGGAACTATTTAGAATAATAAATAAATAAATAAATCATAAATATAGTAAATAGTCATTCATATCTATATGGCTATTTGCATTTTGCCCCATAAAGAGTTGCAGTTGTCAGGTTTGCTTTACGTTATCTCGAAAATTCCATATACAAACACACATCTTAAAAATGTTTATAATAATATTATTGCTGAACATAGAGTCTATATTCTACGATCCCTGTATATAGAACTTTCGAATTCATTTATCAATTGAAATAGGTTTTAATGCAGAAGTCGTTTTAAATATTAAATTTTTTAGTACATAATACTGAAAAATTTAATTGTAGTATAAATTCAAATAGAGGTTCTTGTGACAAGATTGAATGGCATGCTTTTCTCAGAGAAAGACGGTTTATTGCTATCGAAAATCTTAGTATCTAAAATATTTTCGCTTTTTGGGCTTTTGCGATTAAGAAGAAGAACTTGTTCAAAGCTGAATTTTGTAGTTATGTCAAAATATCAGACATTGTCGAAACATATTTTAACATATTTAAATCCATGTGTAAGTATGTCAATATTTTTATTGGTACACCCACGTACAAGAGAAACTAAAATACGAATCGATATAAATCGAATTGTTAAAGAGATAGCTGAGACAAGAGCTGATATTTCCAATTTAATATTTTTCTCATTTGCAGACACAGCCCTAGAGTTGTCGACTTTTAAAATATGCCAGCTGAAATATTTGAGCTCATACCTAAAGTAAATCAAACTTTTTCGACAACTTGTTCAAAGAAATGTGCACATAAATAAATCATCTGTGCCAGTAAAAAACTCAAATAATGCGCACAATTAACTTTGATCAAATACAGAGTTCGAAAAAAAAAAAGAAAAATGAGAAGCAAAAACGTTTAGCAAATTACTGCCTTCAAAACTTTCCCCAAGTCTTTGATTTATGTCAGCCAAACGCGAAATTTGATTTGTAGCTAAGAAATTAACATTTAAATTGAAATGGAAATGCGCACAATTTTCCAATTGACCGCAGCAAACAAAAGGTAAACATTTGCAAAGTATTCATTCAGTTAATATAAACGGCGAAATTTACAAAATTTATTTTGCATAATTTGTTGTTGCTACCAATATTAAAGCACACTCGTATGTACGTACGAATTGTGTAAGCCTTAAGTATACAATTTTAGCATATTTATTAGGGCACGATGAACGTTTAAGTCATTATTGTGCCTAAGCCTCATAGTTTATATTTCACACACTGAAGTATTCCAAACCACTTATTTACAAAAGCTACAGTTAAAGCATCTTAAACATAACCAAACTAATTTAAAGTTTCTGATTAGATTTACAGATTGTTCTGCAATGTTTGCCGAACTTGTGCAACCACAATTTGTCCAAAGAACAAAAGTTATGCTCCAAGTATATGCAAATTTATATTAACGCCTGTTACAAACATTGTTGTTCTTGTAATTTAGCAGGATAATACAATGAAAATTAATCAAAGGCAAACCAGCAATTGTCGAGTGCTGTGCACATATTTAAGTTGACATAAAATTAGGCAATGTACTATAACCTCAAAGTATGGGTGGCTCATTAACAAAATGTTCCAATTAATTACTTATATATCAGACTGTTCGACTGACTTGTGCAGAGGTAAGACATTTTTGCTTTAACCAAGCATTTTAGCTATTATGTTACAGTCCTAATACTCAATGATGTCCTAACACCCCTAATGTCAGGTGTTAATTAAACAGTTGAGTATTTCAAAGTAAAAACAAGAAAGGAATGCTAAAGTCGAGCAGGCTCAACTCTTAAATACCAGCCCACAAAAAAATAAATTAATTTAATTAAATTAATTAAATTATTTAATTAATTAATTAAATTATTTAATTAATTAATTAAATTATTGACATTAATTAATTAAATTATTTAATTAATTAATTTAATTAAATTAATTTAATTAATTACCTAAATTAAATATAAAATATTCCATACATGCATACATTCATTTACATCAGAATCGTGTCTATGCGTGTTTGTGTACTTGTACATATGTATGCATGTGTGCATTGGGCATGGTTATATGGCTATAACTTTCTTTCTGATCAACCTATCATAATGAAACTTGGTATACGGATATATAATTACTAACTGTCTACCAAATTTTAGTTTAAAATTCCAAGAATTACGGGAGTTATAGACAATCTTGAATAGGGGGAGAGTGGGGTTGTGCATCGGGAAAAATGAACAAACTCGTCCTTTCTCGGGCTCAGCAGAATCTGTATACCAAGTTTGGTTATTCTAGCTCTTATACTTTCTGAGATCCTTGCGTTCATACATACAGACAGACGGACATGGCTATATCGACTCGGCTTGTCATGCTGAACAAGAATATATATACTTTGTGAGGTCTGCCACGCCTCCTTCTGTGTGTTACATGTACACTCGCACAAAACTAATATACCCTTGTACCCTTTGGGTATAGGGTATAATAAATGCAGCAAACCTGCGCGTTGTTTCTCAGGGTCGATAACTTAGCATATTATATTCATTTACTTGCTTTATGATTGTTAAATTCAATTGATTAAATGATTAAATCAAATTTTCACCTTTTCTTCATATATAGTTTATTTGCGAATATTTTATAATATGAATGAATAATTTGTAAGCTTGAGCACCTTTTAAACAAGTAATTAGAACGATCAATGTTTTTAAAATTAAGATTACAATATATTTTATTTTAATATATTTTTGAATATTTTCTTTTCAACTAAACTATAAGAGTGTAGCCAGTTTCCCAATTTTTCAAAATGATTTTATGTTCGTAATCGATGTTAAACGTTAAGGACAGTTAACCAAAAAAAAACAATGGATTTCCTGCAAGTATATTTGTTCAGTTTTAAATCTGTTCAGTATAAAATAAATAATACATTTAGTGCAGTAAAAACTGTCTTAAACTGTTTTTGTGGAGCCAATTTAAAGACTAGTCGTTAAATGAACTGTTTATTAGCAAATTGTTTATGAACACGTTGTTAAAGAACAGAAAGATAGACTACAAAATATGGTTTAACGTTGACCGAATTGGTGAAAAAAGCGCAAAGAATATTCTTAACAATAGATTATTTATTATATACTTATTAGCTGCTTCCAAATGTTCAATGCCAATTTAAAATCAACCAAATTGATTAGCAATTAAGACAGAGATTAATTATTATATACTTATTCCAAATTTTCAATGCCAATTTTCAATCAACCAAATTGATTAGCAATCCTCAATAAAATATTTCACATATTTGCTGTTTTTCATCACCAAATATTTGTAATATTTATATTTCTTGTGTGTCTATAAGAATTCAGAGCAAAACTGCATAAATACATGAAAATTCAAATTAATAAACATTTGTTATAAGCCTCAACGCTCTGACACTTTTCAATATTTCCAATCAAACTAAAACCCAATTACATAAGTATGTGGACTAATAATGTGCCCGAAAATATTGACTGCTAATGCTTCAAAATATTTGTTATTCTGTCCCAACCATTGCTAATTGCGAAACCAAACTAGGAACATAACACACGCAGTGTGCAACACAAGCCAACCCAACCCAAAGTGCATGCTAAAATGTTAATAACACGACAAACTTACATGGAATATCATGTTTAACACAATTAGCCAGGAAGGCAAGGCACGTACATATATGTGCGTATACACATGAGTAGGTAGCATAAATTGTTAATCAAGAAAATTCAATTTATTTGCAGGCAAACATCCGAGCGAGCTGCAACAACAACAATAACATCGAGTGCAACTCACCACCAATGCAACATAGTAGTGGCAACAGCAATGTGCGGCAAATGTTGCAAGTGACAACGCACTGGCTGACGACACGAATTTACAGAGCGACAGTTCGACTGGGAGAGTGGGAGGCAACGGCACCATAATCAGGGCCAAAGTTTGGCTAATAATAAATGCCAACAACAACGCAATTTAATTAAAACAATAGCAGCAGCAGCAGCAGCATCAGCAGTAGCACCAGCAGCAACTGCAAACCGCAACAGATTCAGCAGCTAGGACTACAGTAGGGAAAACAGCATGTGGCTTTGGCACAGTTCCATAACCATCACTACCATGCTGGCTAGCATTATGTCCGATTCATTGGCAGCAGCCACAACAATAGCAACTGCCCCTGCAACCGAAATGCAACATAAGCAGCTATACGAGTATATAGACGTAACCTCGAGCTTAAGCTATTATGCCAATGAGACGAGTGGGCTAGATAACAGCACCTTCAGGCCCAACAACAATCGCAATGGCTACCTGCCGAACACCACAGGCAGTATTGCGCTTCATCCCACAGACGAACTGTTGTACACCACTGATTTACCCACTTACCAACACTGCATTGCCACACGCAACTCGTTCGCCGATCTCTTCACAGTCGTCCTCTATGGGATTGTGTGTATTGTGGGCCTCTTTGGCAATACGCTGGTTATTTATGTTGTGCTGCGATTTTCCAAAATGCAAACAGTCACAAATATTTACATACTCAACCTGGCCATAGCCGATGAATGTTTTCTCATCGGCATACCCTTTCTGCTCTACACCATGCGTATTTGTAGCTGGCGCTTTGGCGAGTTCATGTGCAAGGCCTATATGGTTAGCACATCGATAACCTCATTTACCTCATCAATTTTCCTATTAATCATGTCCGCAGATCGTTATATAGCTGTCTGTCATCCCATTGCTTCGCCACGTTATCGCACACTGCAGATTGCAAAGCTCGTTTCAGCCGTGGCTTGGTCCACATCAGCAGTTCTCATGCTGCCCGTCATCCTTTATGCCAGCACCGTGGAGCAGGAAGATGGCATTAACTATTCCTGCAACATTATGTGGCCGGATGCGTATAAGAAGCACTCGGGCACCACCTTCATACTGTACACCTTTTTCCTTGGCTTTGCCACACCCCTCTGCTTCATTTTGTGCTTCTACTACCTCGTCATACGTAAGTTGCAATCGGTGGGGCCCAAGCACACAACCAAATCGAAGGAGAAGCGCCGTGCACATCGCAAAGTAACACGTCTAGTACTCACAGTCATCACAGTCTATATATGTTGTTGGCTGCCCCACTGGATGTCACAGCTGGCACTTATTCACTCCAATCCAGCGCAACGCGATCTGTCACGAATCGAGATACTCATATTCCTCCTACTGGGTTGTCTAGTCTATTCCAATTCGGCTGTCAATCCCATACTTTATGCCTTCCTGAGTGAAAACTTTCGTAAGAGCTTCTTTAAAGCCTTCACCTGCATGAACCAGCAGGATATTAATGCACAACTACAGCTCGAACCGAGCGTTTTTACGAAACAGGGCAGCCGACGCAGGGGCGGTTCAAGACGTTTCCTAGCGCCCAATCCACAGCCACCACTACAGGCACTTAATGCAGGCAACAACAATTCTTCTACCACAACATCCTCGACCACAACGGCCGAAAAGACGGGCTCTACCGGCGCCCAAAAGTCTTGTAGCTCGAATGGAAAATTAGCGGTACCGGCTACTTCCGAGAACTTGATTATTTGTCTAACCGAACAGCAGGAGACTTTCTGTACGACTGCACGACGGGGATCTGGCGCCATGGAACAAACGGATTTGTAATGAAATACAAGCGGGTACATAAGGCATTTTAGTCGATCATAATGGTTGGCATTTAAATAAGTATAGAGTAACATTTTCTATAGAATAGAACATCTCTTGTGCATTTTCTTTAAAAAGGTAGTCTAAGCAATCTATTCAATGTTAAGTTAATATGTACTTCCAATGGTTTGAATTGTCACTTCTCACAAAATTGAATTTAAACTTCTTTCGAACTATTGTAAGCCTCCAAGGTAACGACACCACTAATTAAGGTTCTGAGTGAGTTAAATAAAAACAATTAAATAATTTATATTCGGCCCTATATCCCTAAGAACTATGCTAGCAATGATTTCATAAACTATTGCATTTTAAATGTATCTGAATGTAAGTACGTGAATAAAATGTCTTTTTATAAAACTATTTCTACAGAAATCTTCAGAATATGGATGAGTTTTTTCAGCTACTGGACTTACAGCTATTGATATTATTTTTGAATTGATTGATTGGCCATCAAAAAAGATGATCTTGTCCATTTTCGTACCTAGAAAAAGTTTAGCTATTGTAGCTGCGTTCATCCAAGCTGGCAGACGGTCTATACCCACCCATATCGACATACTGAACAATATATAAGTACTTTATGAGTTTACTCTTTTATCCAGGTTTTCAGATGGATGAGAATCGTTATGCTGGTTCCTATAATTTTTTTTATTCCTCCTCTAGTACGTCTGAGAAAAGATGAGATGAAACCACAGTTTAAGCATACTTTAAGTGGAAAAAAAAGAGAAACATTAAACATGCCACTTTAAGTTTACGAAGCCGGAGCTGCACTCGAAACAGGGCAACAAGGAGAGCTAAAAAAGGCTTACCCCACGCAACGAAATGCATTTACAACGTAATCCAATCAGCACAATAATGAAATGCTAAGTGCCAGACACAAACAGAGCCACAGACACTGCCCGAGACAGTGCCAGTATCCAGAATCAGAGTGCCGCACACATTTGTTGGAGCATTCATGGGGCAGACGCACCAAAGCGAAGCACCACTGGACTGTCCTCTAGTTTTGGATACGACTGCATTGTGTGCTGCCTCCTGCTGGCGAACCGCCCTTTCGCTACACTAATTCCTTGACTATAGCCTCTGGTGTGCCTTTGCAGTGGTCACGTTTTACATTTCACGATTTTCACAGATTGGCCGCAGGTTTTGGCGCGACGCAATGCGATTCGGCCACACATTGCACTCGACTAGCTGCATAGACACATGCAGTAGACACGTTGCAGAATTCGAGCTCCGAGCTGGCGGACTATGCTCATATGGTTGGCGTCAGGCCATTCAAACAAATGGACAAACCTTTTTAAATGTCTGCCTCGCCTCTTATTACAAATGGCCAACGCATTTGCACGTTTTCGATTGCCCCCCAACCCCCACTGCTGTCTGCCCCTAATGCAAGTCCTTGGCTTAGTGCTCGTCAGGCGTCGCCGAGTCATTGAAACTGCAAGTCATTGGCTGCAGACGTTGACATTTCGTCGTTTCAATTATTGTTATACCCTGGAAAAGGGCATGAGTAACATCTTGTTACGCCGCTATGGAACAAATATTTAGATTGATAAAATACTAACCGACCCACCAAGTCTTAGACTCATAAAAAGACACACATACATTTAAATATTTACGCGTAGATTTTAATATGTTTACCATCGATTTTTCGAGTTTAATGGCGGACTGGATTTGATTTTTTATAATTATAAAATATTTTTCGCAACAGTATTAATTTTTTTAATGATGATATTTTGTAAATACATATGTTTGTTATACTATATACTATATTTTTTTTAGAACATTTTTATTAGAAAGCAGATTTTGAATCTCAACATTAAATTTTGTTTTGAATATTATTCTTATTTGAATTGAATTGATTTAATAAGTTTTTAGTTCAAATTACGTTGTTTATATTTGATTTAAATGCGAAATATTATTGAATTGATTATGAAAATATTCATTTTTAATATGATGTTTTTTTTATTGAGTATCTTACTTTAGATTATATACAATACAAGTATGTTGGTTTTTGGATCAATCATAACAAATCACCTTCAGTCTTGAGAAATTATTTTAATTATGTATTTATTTATTATATTTATTATTATACTTAGTATACTTATTTTTGTAGTTATTATTATTTTTAACTTTTCGAAAGTATTTATTTAATTTGTTTTTTATTGCATTCTACAATCGTTTTACTTGAAAGGAAAAATACTGTATAGTAAATGAAAATATAGAATTTACTTTCCCTAAAAATCTTTCTTTATTGAAGTAAAGAAAAATAAGTAAGATTGAAGTAAAATATACCCATATTTAGATATTTATTGATAATAGGCGTTTCAGAAGTGCCTTGTACTCTAATACTAATCGCGCAATCACATTAATATTTAGTTTTCCCTTTAATGCAATCATAATGTTTAATAATAACACTTAAATTTTTTTGGATTGTAAGGCTACAGGCAAAGGAGTACAGGTATAGCGAGGAGACAAGAAAAAATGTTGTGAGTAAAAATAAAAAAAAGAAGAATTTATAGAATGTCTACAATTTTCTATGTAAGTAACTCTTTCCTACGATAAATGCTACGCCACTTCTACTGACACAAAAAGGATGCCTTTCTCACGGCATTGAAGATGTCCTTATCCGAGCTCTTTATTAGCTGTTGTTGCTCCTCATTCAGGCGCTTAACCTGTCAGCGTACGGACTTGTCGTCGTCATCAATGGTTATGTCAGTGGTTTTTGCATCATCGAGGTCTCGCGATGATGTTGCCGCATTGGTTCTTTTATCTCCTTCTTTTGTTGTCAGTCGTCGACGGTTTGTTGTCGTCATAGCGAAGCTCATTGTTGCGTCACTTTTGCAGCGCAATGTCTCAGCACTTTTTACCACATAGCCGGAGCCACAAGCTACGGCCGTGACACTGTCAGCCACCCAGCCACTGCCACCTGCTGACAGTGACAGCGGGGCCGATTGCTTTACATACATACTACAAGTATTACCGGTGAGTCTTTAAATATGCTGCGCACATATTGAAAATTCAATTTAAGCCCAGCCCCAAACGTGCTTGCGGTCAAGCTGCATTCATTTTTCAGACTCCGTACTGACCACAGAATCTGTGCCGGCCGCTGATGTAATTTAATTTCGATCAAATAAACCGCAAAATGACACCAAAATTTTCCTAGCAGGCAAATCACAAAATGCCGGCTTAGCCATCAACTAATTACAACTAGTCAACTGCAATGCAGACACTTACATAGCAGATATATACAAATACTATACATACATATATGTGCATGTAGGGTTGACAGCTCTTTAACCAGCCAATTATCAGCAAACTATTGCTATGAGCGGTCTAAGGTATATGTACATCTGTAGAATAGTAAGACTCGGAAGCGAGAAGACGTTTGTGAACAAGACAAGGATAAACTTAAACTTAATTAACACGCAGAATAAATATCGTACTCCATTGATTAATGCGAAACGTGTGGTGTACTTATTTACGAATTATTATTCTCATTCTTGGGCAGATTTTTACTCATTTGTGGGGTACTCACTAAAGATCTCTACCTATTTATTTATTTAAAATTTAAAACTAACAGAAGAGATTATGTTAGCAATGGCTTCTAGGACTTTCAGCTAAATTTGTATGTACAAAAAAAATGTAGTAACTATAGTAAATATGTATGTAAGTATAAAAGTATATATGTAATGGGATCAATGGACGAACATTGAAATAATTTACATTGTTTAGCCATTCATTAATTCTTGTTTTAAACATTGAAGGTACTTGATGCTTAATATTAACTCACTTTTAGAAAGAAGGAGGAAGAGAAACACAAACAAACTAATAATTAATAAATACACGAGATATACGATAACTCAAACAAACTTCAAAAAAACTAAAATAAACTCATGTTATCTGATGATACGGATAGTCCACAATTGGTCAATGTGGGCTCAGCAGTTTCCGATATCCAAACATTCATCCAGACTGTCTGGCGGAAGGACAGATGTATATACTTTATTGCGTCGGAGATGCTTCCTTCTTTCCTTCGAGCCCAGGGTATAAAATGCTTTGGCTTTCTAGAGTACCGGAAGGACAAGCCTTTTCAAAATAACTATTTGGTCTGCTACACTCGTTTTTGAGACTCACTCGTAGCATAGCTTTCAACCTTTCGGCAAAACTATACTATAATAATTAAAATGTTATTTTACCCTTTATTTGTAAGCACAAATTGATATTTTTGCTTTATTTCTTATAAGCCGAAATGGCTGGCAATTGTTTTGTAAGCCACAGCAGTTGACAACACTTGCCACAATGAACACCGGCTAAATTCCCACACCAGGGGCCATAAATCAGAGCTGACGGTGCAAGCAACAAATGCCAGCCAGTGCATAAATCTTTGAGCATTGCCGTGTCAAAGTGAAAAATTGACTGCACAAAGCGGATAAAGGACTAGTAGGGAGGTGGTATCAAAAGGAAAAGTCAAAAGTAATAATGATGCTGAGCCAAATTGCAAGAGGTAACAATAAGCAGCAACAGCAGTAAAACACGAAAAATACAAAATACGAAAAATCCTCACAAATTTGCACTCGAAAACTTTTCGAGCAGCTAAGCTGCCTGCCTTGGCTCGTACCCGACTGGAGCATTAGCGACTCCACTTGTAAATACTCCAGAAATCTCCAGTAAACAAGCCAACAGCGCAGTAAAGCTTAACTTTCAGTTGGCAGCTTAGCCTCCTCTACTTTTCTCCCAGATTTCTCAATATTTAAAGTTACATTCGTTTTCAGTTTTTCACGTTTCGCTGCATTACACGGCTCCTGCAGTTACTTAAACAAATGGGTCAGGTGGGGAGGCAGGGAAACAGGCAATGGAATAAAGTCGTTCCTTCATGTTGGCGCGCGCTCAAATGCATAAATCAGTGGCAAAGACCAGGCGAGCACCTAAAGTTGATTTAATGCGAATGCCGCTTAGGGTTTAACAATATTTGCTTGCTTGTTGAACAGTCGCTGATAAATGAATAAAAATGTTGACTTGCACGTAACTCAGCATTCATAATGTACTGAATATAGTATAGCAGATATCATTATTATAATTACTACTGAAATCATTGATCTGTTTTTAGTTCAGAGTCAAACAGTTTTTACTCGTTAATATATTATTTGCTAAACTCTTTTGTAATCCCAGAAATGTGGAAAGTTTGGATTTCTTTGTCAAAGCAATACAATTTCGATGGT